CAGGCATTAAACCTTGATGGTCCCAGCATTTGTGAGCATCTTTATCTGCTTGTAGCCATTCTGGTTTGACAGAAAAGGGCTTAGATTTGTTTGCTGCAATGAAGAGGAACTATGATCTGCAGCCAGGTCCAGAGCATTATTCTTGCATGGTGGATCTTTTAGGCCGTGCAGGTCAGCTTGACAGAGCTTGGAAGCTCATTGAATCAATGAAGGTGGAGCCTGATGGTGCAGTTTGGGGGGCACTTCTGGGTGCCTGTAAAATTCACCAAAACGTAGAACTAGCCGAGATAGCTTTTGAAAAAGTCACTGACCTTGAGCCGACAAATATTGGGTACTATGTTCTGTTGTCAAATTTATATTCTGATACAAACAATTTGCAGGGTGTATTAAGAGTTCGGATCATGATGAGAGAGAGGAAACTAAAGAAGGAGCCAGGGTGTAGTTATCTTGAATATAAAGGTAGGCTTCACCTCTTTTTGGCTGGGGATAAAGGTCATGTGCAGGCTGAGGAAATATATAGAATGTTGAATGTTTTAGAAAATTTAGTAGCGGAAAGTGATGAATATAAGAACCATTATCAGGAAAAAAGAAATGAAGAACTTTTAATTGCTCTGGGAGTGCACAGTGAGAAGTTAGCCATCTCATTTGGACTTCTGAATACTAGTCCGGGAACAGAGATTATTGTAATAAAAAATCTGAGAATATGTGAAGATTGTCACTTATTCATTAAGTCAATTAGCAAGATTGTCAATCGCCGGTTTGTTGTTAGAGATGCAACTCGTTTCCATCACTTCCAGGATGGAATCTGTTCTTGCAAAGATTACTGGTAAAGTAAATTTCAGGTTTCCACATTGCAGAAATTCCTTCATGGATCAATGATTCCCAGGGCTGGCCAAAGAAGGTTTCTGCCCTCCTGGAATCAAAGAGGACGATTTAAGTTTAAATGTATTTATTGATTGGTTCTAAGATGTAGGTACGGATACACAACGTTTTTTCATGATCAACTTTGGATTTCAAATCATGTTGCAGAAAAGAAGCCAATATCGAGGCCAAAATCGAAGTACAAGCCACAGAACTTATAATGCCATTGTGTTAGAAAATCTACACCTTTCATCATTTAACTCATTTTTTGCAGCATTACACTTCATTAGTTGTTGCCTAAGGGTATGATGCTAGCTAGCATCGTTGTATATATAGACAGTTTAGTTTAACTTGATTCCTCTTTTTTCAATTCTCTTGCTATGATTTGCATTCTATTACTGCAGAAATACATATTTCCATATTAAAACTTCTCAAATATATATTGAAGTTCTCTAAGACAAGAGGCTATGGAGCTACAAAACCTTGGAAAATCCATGCCTTATATTAGAGAACATGGAAAATCCAGTATCAGAAATAATAAAATGATTAATCATTATATCATCACAATTGTTTAATGGAGTCTCTAATGGATCTGACTGCAACTGTATCAGAAACACGTTCATCTTCAACCAATGGGACTGTTTTCCACACATACGATTTCATGGGAACGCTCTCTTCTCCTGCAAACAATGAACTCTATTTTAGCAGCTATTTATTTTCCAATTTAGATTGCATCTTAAGGAGAATTAGAACTCACCTTGGATGGTTTGATGTTTTTCAGTACAGATTGCAGCATAATGAGAACCATCCAGTTCCAAGAGTTCAAAGCACCATTTGCTAGCAATATTCTTTGGGTCATCAGAAGATTCAACAATTATTTCCGAGGCCTGATAACATGGTTAGAACAAGATGGCATATGTAAAATGCACAAGAAGAGGGAGAGAGGCAAAATAAAAGGCTAATAAAGAAAAAAGGAGGTCTACCATACAGCATAAGAAGAAGAAAAACGAGATCACAAAATAAAATCTTGTAGCTGCCTGGTGATGGATAAGCAAAAATCTCACTCAAAAATCTAACCTTCATTGGTAACCTAAAAACATCCAACTCCTGTAAAGGTGTAAATGTTCAAACTTTGAGGCATGCATTCAGCAATTGCTTTTACAAGTTTTCAAAACACAATTATGATTTGCTTGTTTAATTTTTCCAAGCTCGGTCAAATATCAACTTTGATTAAACCCAAAATGAAGGTTGATTAAACAACTTTCATCCCAGACTTTTGGCTCTTGTCCCAGCAAACAAGTTGTATGCCGTAAGCACCAAGCAACTACATTCTAGAATTTTTTTTATTCCGGCTGAAAGTTAAGAACAAACCTCAGAATATAACTTCTCATGAAGATCAAATCCTCTTATAGTGATAGCCTTAGGCCGGATTGTAAAGGTCTTGAAAGGTGCAGCTGAGAAGCCCCTTCCTAGTGCTTTTACATATGCCTCCTAAATCCAAGATTCAACTTCACAGTGCATTCCAAGTTCACAACCCAAAAGAGATTATCTTTATACATTAATATATATTTATATATTCATATATCATCTGCAGAACTTACTTTAAGAGTCCATAACTTAATAAACTCCTGACGCTGAACTTCATGGTCTGTTATAGCTGCCAAAATCTCAACTTCATAAGGAGAAAAGTAGCGTTTGGCAAAAGCTAGTATATTATGCTTTATCTTCCGTTGCTTCTCTTCCACATCAATTCCAATCTGCACATATGAAGGAAAGCTGCAGCAGTTCAAATTCAGTGTCCACTCATAGAAAACAGCAATATTATCTTCTTAGGAGAAATAAGCCATCCTAGTCATAAAAAAAGCAGACCAATAATGTGGTAACTAAAACTAGACTACTTACACGTACATCCATAGTCACGCCACAGGCTATCAAAGAAGAAGTGTGTGAAATATTAAAATGCATTGGTGGTCGGTGGGAGTCATCATCAATTTGCCAGTCTACCTATTCATATATGAAATACACAAAAACTAATGATATGCAAGAAAAGAAATCCAGCTTCAAATAATGTGTTCAAAGGAAGGAAAAGAGGTTATTCACAATGGAAGACTGCAAATCCAAAAAAAAAAAATCAGAAGTAAATCTCACCTCAGGCTTTCCATAGATGTTTTTCCGAAACTTTAAAGACCGTGGGACACACTTGATAATTTGTCAGATCTAATAAATCGAGTTACATAATATGTGTCATGCCCTACATCGAAAAAGAGGAACGGAACAACTAAAGTACCCTATGATTGGATGGATGGCCCAGGAACTTTATGCTTTCCTATTTAGAATGGTCCTTGAACTATGAGGTGTACAATGGAGACATTGATTTACCAGTAAAACCTTCAAATTTGAGTCTACTAAATAAATGACATCGGACAAATAGGATTGATTTGTCTAATTAGGGATTTAGAGATAAAAAGAAACTTAGACATCAAACTTAGAATTTCTTAAACCATCTAAGAGATATTAACCGTCACACCTAAGACTTTGATCGCATCACACCTCCAAAAACTACGAAACTGTCAAGGTATTCTTGAATAATTGAATGACCAATGAGTGAAATTATAAAATTATTTATAATAATCTAATTAACTTTTCTTAACTACAATTAGACTACGAAAATAGAAAATAATAGAACTAGAAATACTAACTAATAAGAATAAGAAACTAATGCTAATGGTATTAGGAATGCTAATAAGAACAGAAAGCATAAATTACTAAAACTATAATAATACTTCTAAATAATATACTAACAGACTCCTAAACGGTATATTTATTTTATATTTAATATATTTGCAATTTTTAATTTATCTAGAAAATCTAATGTTAACCTATTATCCATCAATAAACGAACCAAATGTAATCCAGAAGCAATTACTAAAACTATACTGATCATTCAGCTTTTTTGTCAGCAAATGAAAAGAAATATAAAAATAATCAAGAAGATGAACAGGAAGACCTACATCTTGCAATGGTAGTTCGAACCAAGGCCCGGGCTAGCACAGCTCTTTTCTTGAGCTCATTATCACGCATTCGGAAGACATTTTCTTTCTCACCAGGTGATAGAAGTTCTAAATACAGATCTAAAAGAGATGCACTCTTCACTTCATGAGGCAAAACGTACCAGAAGTGGGACTCCCTAAAATAAACCATTTAAAAGCCCTCAAAAAAAAATAAAGTTTCCAACTCAATAACAAATACAAAACACTGACAATAACTTCCCAAATGAATTGTACATAAAACACATATAAACTAGGTTATAGGTATATAGAAACTAAAATAACAAAAAAACCCATCAACAAATTTACAAACAGCTTCATACATTCGAGATGGGAGTTGTACAGGAACCAAAGGAGGCAGAGCAGAGAAGAAGTTCCTCTGAGAACAACATGGATTCATCATCAAGTTCCCTTTGTGCAGAAATGAGAACATTCATGCTCGGGAATGGTAGAGACACAGAAATTTTTAATTACCCACTTCAATGAAAGATTTATAAATGGAAATTCTCACAGAAACAATCTCTTGTCACCGCAACCATTGAAGAAAAATCCACAGTAGAAGAAGCTCCTGGGATTACAGAAACAAGCTCTTGTAAACGTAACCATTGAAGGAACTAGCTTGAATACCGTAGCAGCTATAGAACTATACAGAGATATCAGGCTTTATGAGCTCCCCACATTTGAAATTTGGGTTTTCTTTCACCAATTTGGCTGAAAACAGAAGTTACAGAATTCTCTTATTTGTAAACAAACCCCGCAAAAAAATTCAGAAAATTCAAACAAAAAAACAAGATCATTTATCAATCAGAAAACATTTAACACCAGAGAGAGATTGAAGAAACTACATAGATAAAATTAACAAGATAACCAAAAAAGAAAAAGAAAAAAGCTTCGTGGAAGAGAGAAAATGATACCGGAGAAATTAATGGAGCTTGAATTTGCAGACAGTAATTTAGCTGCTCATTACGACGTCGCATTTCACATACAAATTGGCGAGAGGCATCTTTTAACTGGCAAACGATTAGGATTTACGTGGGCCGACCCGCCAAGACTTGGGCCTGGGCTTCACCCGATTTCTACCCCGTTAAGTCATATTCTGTTTGTTTTAAGCATCTTTTAGTTTAAATAATATTATAATTTTTTAATTCAATTTAACCAAAAAAAATTAAGATTTTTATCATTCTTTACATTTTATTAAAATATATTATTTAGAATAAATTATAAGTCCTATTATATCATCATTTCACCTTAATTCAGTTTCTATCTTTTTATATTTGAGAAAAACCATGAAAACTTCTTGAAACAGAACAGACAAACAAAAGACTTTCCTCATAACAGAGAAGTCCAGCAATGTTCATGTCAGCCATGAGAGAAAACTCTTTAAAGTCAGAAGCTTTACTCAGAAAAAAAGAGAACATGTTAGAATTGAGTTACAGAGACCTTACATTGTTAACAGGAACAAAGATTAAGCAAACATCACTCAAGAATTAAAACAACACACACATGGAAACCACACTCGATATTTCCAGATGGACGGTAAGCCCGATTTATCTTTTGCCGGCTGGCAAATTCCCTCCAAATCAAATCATCTGGAGTAGCACACTTCATCGCCAAGCTTCAAATAATTCTGCCCTTGAATTTATTCGGCCAACAAGTGCAGCTCCTTTCCTCTTCTCTGTAGATTCTGTAGTACTACCTATTCGCCAATCATTTGACTTTTTGGATCCATTCTTGACGCTTGAATCAGTAGATTGACAAGATCTGATCTTGCACGAGTATGTATGACCCCCAGAATTCGGACTTCTAAAACTGGTCTCTTGGAGTCCATTAATCAAGGCATTAACTTGAGATACAACTTGGCAAGGGCAGTTGTCAGCCAGAGATTGATTTCCTGTTCGTAAGATGTTTTCAATGGAAGCTAGGAAATTCTTAGATTCTTGTTCTGTATTAGAATTATTCTGGGTAGGGTGAAGGGGACTCTTCAGAGCAGGGTCTTTGGCAACGAAAGATTTACCTTGTTCGTCATCTTCAACTTCGTCTTCATTCTTCTCATGGATATATAGTTGTGATGAGCTTTCATGACCATTCCCATCAGAAGGCTCCGGGCAAGAAGCAGAAATTGTTTCTACCGAAGAATCTTGTCTTTCTTTAAGTGTCTTAATGATAAGTGTCTTGAGAAAATTCATCACTTGCACGGCATACATCAAGGCGGTCAAAGGATCTGACATCTGCAAGAAACAGAAGTAATAGAGGATGTCAATGCCATTGGTACTCGTAGATAATTTTGTTCAATATCTGCCAGTACATATGAGTTAACTTTTCATCATTTTAGGAAAAATTTCCCCCATTTTCTAATTAAATTTAGAGTGGATAAATACAGATATCATCAAAATGTAACACAAAAGAATGATGTTTGGTCCTATATTGACATTTATATCAGTTATTAATAGCAAAAATTACACATGAAAATTAACATAGGCACATTAAAAGATATAGAACTATGAATACTAACTTGAGTCATGTTTGGCGCAAACACCATCGCAATATTTCGTGCATTCATCTTGTTCATATGTTCCAGCTGAGCAACATCAGCCATTAAATTTATTGCCCAGTCTAGAAGAGCAGCTTCTGTTGGAGGAAGAAGCCTAACAAGCTGAGCACATTCCTCTTCGGTTTGGGATTGCATTACCTGCTCGGGTGAAAGAGAATCTAATACACCAGTTGGGAGTTCTCTAAACCAAGCCTGCAGTAAAATAAAAAGGACTATACAACATTAAAAACAGCTATGCGATTAGAAACATTTTGAATGCCTAATATTCTGGAAGGAATATGAGAAAGATATTTGAAGGTGAGATCCACAATCAATATCTGAGAAACCAATAAATATTGGCACCTATATCATGGATGAACCCGGCTTCAAGAAGTTGATGAGAAAATTAACATCAATTTGCACGTGTATTAGATTGACTAGTCATAATTAACTTTCTCATATGTCTTCTTATATCACTTCAAGCTTTTGGGATAACTAAATAATGCGTGCCTGATCCATGTTTTCAAGTAAACATATTTGTCCATAACTACTTATAATCGATTATCTAACAATTAATGGCTGCAAAAAAGCTAACTGATACCTTTATAAGACCTGCCAAGCAGTGGACATCCACACCATCAGGTATGACTCCCCGATTTAATTGCTCCCTGACATACTCTTCCTGGCTGTTCCCACCATTAATCCTAAAAATTCCTTCTGCCTACAGAATTAGGTAGAACAATTGAATTCCAACACATCTTGTTTACTTGTTTTATAAGCAAAGGATTAATGGAGTAACTACATCTTTTCCAATTGTAGAGAAAAAAAAGAAGTAAGAAAAATATCTAGGCTACTTATCCATTGCCAAGAATAGTATATGCATTGAAGAAACAAATTTCCATGCCATTTAAATGATGCAAAATACCTGGCTTGCCGAATTTACTTCTCATATGCGAAACAAAGGAAAAGAAAGATGAAATAATTACGAACCTGCAGACCACTTTGGGCATACAAGTGTCTTTGCATCATCAACAGTATTGTGGGCACACAGTTCCCTCTCGAGTCATAGGAAAGCTGCATAGACTCCGTTGAAACTCCAAAGACATTTGCACTGCAAACAAAGATATCTTAATGAATAGAGAGAGAAGCAAAGACAGTGTTATCATTCACAGCATGGGAGGGTGGAGAAAGAAACAAAGTCAGAAATTATTAGGAAAGCCGGAAAATCAAGTTGAGTTAACATTACAAGTCTCTTTTATTCTTAGCCATATTATGAAAAAAAACATATACAAGACAAAAAAAAAAGCATATTAGAGATCTTACAGAAACTATTCAAGATTAACTGAAATCTTGTAATAGAGTTGCTCTATAGTTACCAAAGAAGAAAACTTAAAAATTCTAGTTAACCGATGTTTGGAACAAACGCACTTCATTTGCGAAATTCATATGAAAAAAAAAACGATTATCTTAGATATAAGAGAAATTCAGCTTCTAATCAATTCCAATTAGAATTGACACAACAAACTCCAAATTTCATGAAATTTAAAACAAATAATCTTAATTCTAGTTGGTAATAACTAGAAGGTTGATTTTCATCATTACAATAAGTGTGGGTTTGAAATTGGAGCCCACAAATGGAGTTCATCTGTTCCAAACATAGCCGTAAGTCATCAAAAGCAGGGTTTACTTCGTATGCATCAGTGAGGGAATTGGGTCATAAATGTTCATAGAATGTTAAGGGTGAGTAATTATGTATTGCAATATCTATATCAGGATATCTTAAAATGCTAATTTGCTAAAGACTGAAACCAGCTAATCAAGCCAAAACATGCCTGAAATGACAGAAAGGTCTTTAATAATCTCCGACTTGAAACAAGAATCCCCAAAAAAAAAAAAAAAAAGACGGCCAAAACTCAAATTTGCCCAGTTATCTAAAAGCCAAAACAAATCACTCAAATTGTCAAATCGAACGAATTCTTCACTGAACAAGAGTTTCAAATACAAAAGAGAACAAATCCCAGCAAAAAATCATCAAACCAGAATAAAATTTCGACGTATATAAAAGGAAACTCATCATTCCCCAAACCCACAACAGAACCAGCCAGAAAAACTGACCTAGCACTAGGAGCTCTCCTGGGAACTTCAGGCTCAAACTCAACCGGCAAGCCAAGGAATCCATTGAACCTATCGAAGGTGACATGAGCAACATGCCGGACATTAGTAGGCAATCCAATCTCCATTGAACATAAATCTTTGGCACTGGGAACACTACACCCAGATAAAGACCTCCTAAAAGCAGCCACCAAAACTGTCACAAAAGATAACTGATCCCCTTCCCTGTCTCTCTCCTTCCTCTCTCCGTCTCTTTCCTCAATATCTTCTTCGTCAGCTTCTCGACCTCTGTTGACGACCCTGTTGTTAATAAACCCATGTGGGTGTGTGCCATCATTTGCCGCACATGATGTAGGAGAGGAGCTTGAAGGTGAAGGGAAGTGAGAAGGGGATGATTGGAGTACTTCAGTCATATTAATTTTATATATATATATATATAAAAAACCCAAAAAAAATAAGTCTTCTGTAACAAGAATTGGACTACAATGAGCGGTCTGTTTGGGTTCTCTGTTTATTTTTTATGGGTTTTTTTGGGCTTTTTTTTTCCTCTTATTTTGGGTGCACGTAGAGTTGGATTGAAGGAAGGATTTCGGATGGTAGGAAGTACCAATCATCACTTTCTCGAGAAAATATTATTTTCCTTTCTGGCTATGGCGTATATGGCTCAATAAGCAACAGTGATGGTAATACTAATGGCGGTGATGGTGGAGGTGGGTAGAGAAGGAGAACGAGAAGAAAGAGGTCCCCTGGAGAAGAAAAAGAGAGGAGAGGTAGCCAGTAGGACAACCTTTTTTTTTTTCCAATGCTTCCTATTTCTCTACAGTTACTAATCTTATTCTCTGCTGTGCTCTGAGTAACCAATGGATGATTGCCACGTCATAATTAAATAGATAAAAATAAAGTTATCGTTTTAATTATTCTTTTACCCCTTTTTTTTTTCCTTTTTTACTTTATTTATCTGGCTTTAATTAATCATTAAGCATGCTCATGCTTTAATTAATAAATAAATAAATAAATAGTCAAATTAATTAAATAATTAATTAAATGGATTTTGTTGTGATTGGATCTCGTGTTCTTAAATCAATGAATCTTACCATCTTGATGTGTTTGGATATATCATAAAAATTTTCATATTATTTATTATAAATTTGTAAAATAATTTAAAATAAATATAAAATATTGCAATAATTTCTCTTCATTTTTTATATAAATAAAAAATATTAATACAAAATTAATTTTGAAACCACACCATAATTATTATCGTAAAATATTTAAATTTTAAGTTAAATTATTATCATAAAAAGAAAACTAACGTTTAAAATATTAATAAAACCAATATGTGAAAAAAACATGTACAACTTTTTATATACGAAAAATTAAAAAAAAAAAAACTTGTGGGGCTCTTTTTTCTTTTCTCTTTTTTTGCCGCTTACATAACAATTAGTCTTAATTTACAAATCATAATTAAATAACATATTATATCTTAATAGAAACTACGTATGTATTTTAATTTAATGGATTTATTATTTAATTACGAAGTTTGAAATTAATGTTGGTCAAATTTTAATGATAATATTAGTAAAATTTGTGTGTCAATAATTATATTTGTACATTTAAATTTTCACTTTCTAAGTTATAAATGTGAGGGGATACTTTTATTTGACTCAATTAAGCACGAGCATGATGGATTAAGCATAGTCTTAAATGTCAAACTAATATATTTATAGTATTAATGTTAGTTAGGTAATATGAGAAGAAAGAAAATGTCAATAATAATTAAATAGCTTTAGTTAGGAAAAAAAAAAAAAAAAAAAAAGATGTTGTACAACATAAAACTCTTATGAGTATTTTCTTTTTTAAAAAAAGAGATAAAGAAAAAAGGTATAATTTATTATAAATTAAAATTATTAAAATATGTTCGAAATACGCAATAAAATTATTGGAATGTAGAAACGTTTTGCAATATGGTAGTATAAATTTTATCAAATTTAATATTATGAAAATGAATGCACATAATATTTAGATCTTAACATAACTAAATATCTCAACGAATTCGAATACGTATTTATCGTAAATGACCGGCAGATACTGCTGGCTAAGAGATTAGGCACAACAGTCGCCTGAATCGGGAGAATAACTAATGGAGCATTCGCATAATTGCAAAGAAAACTCATTTCTATTCATGTTTTCATGTACGGATAAGCTTTATATTGTATTATTTTAACGAAATTAATGATAATAAAGTTTTTTTTTATATAAAAAAAAAAGAATAATTAGGTTATAATATATAATTATATAAATTTAATTATTTAATTTATTAGCGTATTAAATAATAATTAAATTATGTTAAAACTTAATAAATATATTATATTTTTATAGGAAAAAAAAAACATTGTACGTGGATTATATAATTATATTTTATTAAAAATTTAATACAACTTTTTTTAAAAAAGTAACTATTCTAATCCCATGATTGATTGAA